TTGGTAGCCCAGGCTGGCCTCGAACTCACAAAGATCCGCCTGCCTCTGCCTCCCGAGTGCTGGGATTAAAGGCGTGCGCCACCACCGCCCGGCTCAAATAACATTCTTTACAAAATTGAATAAACAGTTCTAATATGCATGTGGTAGCATAAAAGGCCCTTGATAGTGAAAGCAATTCTGATTGCAAAATAATAATGCTGGTGATAGTATTACCCTGGTTTCAAATTATAACTACAAAACTGTAGTAACAAAAACAGTTTGGTACTGTCACAAAAATATGTATATCAGTGAAATAGAATAGATAGCCCAGAAATAGACTTATACCCAATTGAATTTTGGGCAAAGATGCCAATTACATACATTGGAGAAAGAGACAGCGTCTTCAACATAGTACAGAGAAACATGATATCCATATGTAGAAGAATGAAACTAGATCCTTATCTCTTATCCCATACAAAAGTCAATTCAAAATGAATCAAAGACTTTAATAATCTAAATTGAAACTGTTAGAAAAAGAAACCTTAAAAGTAAAGACATAGGCAGGAACTTGCTGAAAAGGACTCCAATAGTTCAGGAAATAAGAGCAAGAATCGACAATAGGATTGCATAAATTTTCAAAGCTTCTGCACAGGAAAGGAACCAACCAACAGGATGAAGAGACAACCAATAGAAGGGGAGAAAACTATACCAGTTGTGAATGACTATCTAGAATATATAAGGACTCAGGAAGGAATGGTGTCACATGTCTTTAATCCCAACATTCAGGAGGCAGAGGGAGGAGTTCTCTGTGAGTTCCAGGCTAGCTAAGGCTACATAGTGAGATCCTTTCTCAAAAAAGCACAACAAAAAACCAAGCCCAAACAGTCTAAATAAGTTGATAAATAGGCTAATTAATGAACAGACTGTTCTCTAAAGATTGAAGTACCAATGACCTGTAAATAGACAAATAATGGTCAACACCCTTAGCAACCAGGGAAATGCAAATTAAAACTACATTGAGATTCTATCTCACCCTAGTCACAATGCCTATCATTAAGACAAGTAGCAACAAATGATAATAAGAATTTTGGATAAAAGAAAACCCTTACTGAAGGGAGTATAAATTAGTCCAGCCACTATAGAAATCAGTATGGAGGTTTCCTCAAAAACCTAAAAATAGAAATAACTTATAACCCAGGTATACTCTTCCTGGGTATATATTCCGAAGACTAGATTCATGATCACAGAGACACTTGTACATCCATGCTTACTGCAGTAGTACTCATAGTCAAGCTATGGAATCAGTTAAAGTGTCCAAGAGATGAGTGAACTAAAAGTGTGTGTGTGCATGCGCATGCATCTTGAAAATTGAAGCCAGACTAGGGGAATAAAGAACAGTGGGGAAGAGGAAAAATAAAGATACAGAGGTGAGCATGGTCAAAATACATGGTATACAAAGATGTTCTTGTGAATCTCATCACTTTAATGAATATATGCCAAGAAAAATATCAACTTCAATGATTACTTCTAGATTTTGAAGAACTTACATATTGAGGGGAGACTGGCATCCTCATCACTTAGCTGTAGAGGTCATGCTTGGTTTCATGGAAGGCCAAGGCAGAGGATGAATTACTACATATTTCATGTTCACTAGGAGATGAAATGTTACCAGTAACTGAGACTATTTCCTCTTTGAGGGTTGTTAAGTATCAATGAGTTTGACATTTTGAGCAGATGACCATGTGCTTAGCTATGAGTGTTAGGTTTTGAAAGTGATGTCTTTTTTTATAAATCTAAGGCACATACTGGTTATAGACCCTATTCTGAGTTTATAGTCTCCCCCATTGCCTGGATGTCTAAACTGACTACGTCATTTGCAATCTAAAAATCATTAAAAAAAAATCTTAATTTTCATTTGTGATTCTCTGTCTCTGTCTCTCTGTCTCTCTCTCAATCTCTCTGTCTCTCTCTGTCTCTCTCTCTGTCTCTCTGTCTCTGTCTCTGTCTCTCTCTCTCTCTCTCTCTCTCTCTCTCTCTCT